TTTTCTACAGTATGACAATAACACACAGAAGTGAAACTGATACTCCCACATATAAATCACTAGCTGAAGCCTAAATGTAATCGACTGCTTTATGAAACTAGAGTACATTGCTAGCTTGAAGTTCTTTTCTTCTGAAGTGGCCATGACTAGGATAGTATCATGAATTCAGATATAAGCAATTGAATGATATCCTCAGTTATTAATGAGACTACCTAACATAATTGTGTAATAGCGACCGGTATTGCCAATACTGGATGGAAACTGAAGATGGATAAACGTCTGGGCTACAGCAAGATTCGAACCGACGACTTTTGGATTGCCGGCTGCATGCTCTGCCACTTCAGATCGAAGTCATTAGAGATTGAAGCAAAGGTTTAGTCAGTAGCTGAGTAGAACACAGGACTACTATTCTGGATGTCAATAAGTCAAATTTTGACATGACAAATACTTCTAGTGACACCGTATCATCAGTGAGTACCGAAGTTCTGAGTATTTAGGCAATCTTTATTGGATTGCTATTGCAAACATTTTATGGAGGCCGCTTTAGGACTAAGAAGTATCACCGTATCGCTTCAATAGAAACGTTTCAAAACATGTTTTGCTGCATATTACCACGTGAGCTTCTTCATCCACAAATGAGTCCATAGCTCCAATTTCAAAACTAATCAATTTGATGTCGGGTTGAAAGGAAACTTTTACAAACTTTCTTCACATGACCAACATCGAGTTCCAGCACATCCCTCCACCTGGTGACCTTTCGAACAGAGAAAAATGTATCAAATGGCAGTCAAAAGAAGGGTGCAATAGACAACGTTGGCTGACATGGAGAGTTTGAAACCACTTCGACTATTAACAATTCTTTACGAGCCAGGTTGAAATGGTTTAAAAGCTTGTTGACTATTTCGTTTATTTAAGATCCAGTTTATCAATGATCCACTTTAACTGACTTAATTGTTATGGTTACGTACTTCCATCAAGATTGTGAACACTTCATGATGTGCTGTAACATAATACAAAGTCTCCTTTGCACTATAGTTATTTTTGAATCCTTAGAAGTACCCAAATACTGATGGAAGGATTTGAAATGACAACTTTGAAAGTACATTTTCCACTTGAAAAACTCAATACTTAAGAGACAACTTGGATTAATCATGTACATATTTATCCAGAGTGTCTACTGAGGCTACAGAAAGACATTTTGTGATTTCATTATTTTTATTATATATAGAACATGGCATGAACTTTTACTAAGTGAAAATGTCAAGAGGTTTTCTGTCTGGTCACTCTGCATAATAATGGGGCAGTAGGGATTGCATATACTTAGAAGAAGCTGTCATTGCTCTTCATTTTCTTTTGTTTCATGATTTCAGTTGCCTCCTGGGTCTAGTTACATAGACACTTTAGAAAATGGTTTTAAAAATTCAAATTAAGCTTTTAAGTATTAGAAGGAATGTTGTCTTGTAGTGCAAAGACATGTAAAACCGGAAACTATGCTTGTATATCCTTATGAACCTTCTTTTTTCAGTGTGCTTATTCACCCTCAATATATTTGACTTTGCGATTGCTGGGCTTGGCCAAGCCTTTTCTGATTTCCTTTGTTTAATTAGGTACACACTTTAAAGCGAATATTAATTTCTCATTTCGGTTCACACTGGCAACTGCTTACCCAATTTGTTGCGCATTCTTTATTCCTGGATTTTAACCCATACTTACTTACTACTGTATTCAAAAATTTCCATGTTTCTCACCTAACTTTCTTCCCTATATTATTTCCTTGAGGACAATCCGCTATCATTTATTATCAGGCAAGTCATGTTGATATTCTCACCAATAAATGCGGACAATAGCCTTATTTAATTGCGATTGTACATCACTTGAGAATAATTTCGCCGAAATCATTCTTGTTCATTGCAGTCTTTCTCCGCAGTGTTTAAGAGATATAACTCATCTATGATAATAAAACAGGAAATCGCTATCTATATGATAATTTACCTACTGAGCTTACTTTCTCGATCTGTGATTTATCTAGTGCTTATATATTTACATTCCTTCCTATGATTATCATTGTTCCCTTTCCGTCCTTTCGCAATGATAACTGCGTGAAAATTCATAGGTGTCTTCAAAAATATTTATAGAGCTGTTAGCGAAGTTTTCGTCAAGTATTAGGCTCCTTTCCGTTTTATATCTTCATGCTAAAGTTGTTGATTATACTATTTTGAACAAAAAGTATGAGGACATCAAATTAACCGTTTTGCGTGTACAGCGATTTTCCAAAATTATGGAGCTCTTATAAAAATGCATTTTTTCCTCGGATCTGCAGGTCACAGAGATGAGAACTCTAGTTGTTTTTTTAAAGAAATATCATATTAATATTGAATAGCGCTGTGTGAGAATTATAGTTTTTCAAGACAAGTATTCAGATTTCTTAGTCTATTCAAGTTTTAATCTAAGTAATGCACTCTTGTTCCTTGTCTACTTATCTGAAAAGACATCTCATTATCTCCCGTATACATAGGGTGAGAAAACCACTTTTTTTCATTCAAGCTGTCACAGACTAGCGTGACAGTTTATGAATGAATAATCAGTATGCATTTGTTTGTCTGTTTGGTAAAGACATTTAGGTTGGTGGAAACCCCTCTCTATTTGACTGTTATGTCACGAAAAAATACACTATGTTGCACATTCAAAGCTCACATTCTATCACTATCAAGGCAAAACATAATACGCTTACAATACCAAACATTAGATTGCTTTTACCTTGTTTTAGTTAATACTGATCAAGTATGCTGGCTGCATCGTAAAGCAGGAAATTACAGTCACTAAATTTTAAAAAATGATTGGACAGTTTCCTAATTCATACTAATATGATTGTAAATATGACTTGGGAGTCAAACAATACGGTTTATTACGTACCAGCTGATGTGAATATCATCATGCACCTTTTTATTACTATTATTGCCTTTCCCCTGTGCTGTCTGAATTCCATTCTTGTTTCTAGAATATTTAACCAGTCATTCGATATACAGATAGCCTTCTTATGAGTTTTCTGTTAGTCTAATAAGTGAAACCTTTTGAATTCAGTTACGTAAATCAGTGTTGTTTTTTATTCGAGACGATACATTTCTATCAAACTGATTCAAGTATGTACACATTTGTTTCAGATTTTGATATAAATTATTTTATACTGAAGGAAGCTGCAAAAGAACCTGAAATGAAGCAGATTCATTCAGTTCCACCAAAACGGCAGCTCCTGCACAGTTTGAATATGATTAATCTAGTGAAACCACTTTTAGAAACTCCTTTGAAGGAGATAAAATGGTTTTTTCAGAACATTTCTGTTGTAGAAAGCCGGGAAAGAATAGACGCCGTTGGCAAAGCGTCTAACTTAAGTATTTATAAGTGGTTTTGAGTTATCAAGTCACAAGATTATATCTCAGAATAGACAGTAAAAACTTCAGTGGAACTCAAAATCTGATTTACTTAAAAGCATGTGTTTTGGTTCTTGTCCAAGTTACAGTGTACATACTGCAATCATTGGACACATCTAAACACTTGAATAGTCTTACTGGTGTTAAGAATTGTTTTCTGTATCGATTAGGAAATAAGTAAAGAAAGCGAACTAAATCTTGTAACTTTTGAAATAACCATAATCATGCTGGATGGTTGGTAATGAACTGATTTTCTTAAAAGTCTGAGTGTCAAAAATCGTCCAGTTTGATGCAATTTTAACTGCTAACATACACTTTCAAAATAACATAGACTAGCGTACATTAGCTAGTGCGAACGCATAAAGGGATAAGAATTAATTCCTAACAGGATTGTTTTTTCAAGTTGATCATCGAGATTCTATACATATATAAACTGCATGAA